AACCTACATTTTTTGAAGTCTGGCAAAATAGGTTATCGTATTTTGTGGTAGTTATTGGCAATTTGGCTAAGTAGGTACTTAATTAGGTTCTTAATTTCTATTAAGGGGATATAATTGTTGATTACCAGAAGAAATAAGCTTGGGTTTTGGTCCTTGAACATACAGTATTTATTCGCAACTGTATTATTTATTTTCTTGTAATATAAATGTGAAATCTGAAAGTCACACTCCTTGGTTACAATGTTATCATTATGTATCTGTAACCCATATACAAGAACCTGTTTGATCTTACTTGGCTAAACACTTTTATATTTTTGGAGTATTAAAATGGCAAATTTCTGCCAGTAGGTTCTTAAACTACTAGGCTCTTAAGGTCATTCCACGGAAATAGAACCTGCATGTACTGAGATTTTTCTCAAACTTTGCCTATTGACTGTTTATATTTTAGGAACTTAAATTTGGAAATAAAAATGAGGGGTCCCCATGTTCGTTTAGGAGCAACAGCACCTTGTTTGTACCATATAAATCCTTACAATAGCACCATGATTATAGTCACGATTGCTTGCTAAAATCACGTTTCCGACAATTGTTTCTTGCTCGACACTGAGAATTTGCCCATTTTTATTTTACATAGAGAAATTTATTACTCAATTCAACGCAACATAAAAAAATTATAGGTCACCGTACTCGTTTTCGAGAAAATGACGATTTAACTCTACGGCGAGGTCCAGCCGCAAAAAAAAAGCCGCCATTTTTTAATGCACGCGCGCTAATTACGCGTGAAATTATGCGCAGTAGGGATGCGCAATGCAATACTGGGAAGTGACCTTAGGGACCTTTTAGACAGTTATCAGCTTCTATAGAACGTCTATAAACGCAGGAAGTAACACCATCGTTAGAAAATCGAAAATGAAAACCCGATCGAAAATCCAATAAACAATGTGTAGCTCAACAATAAAATAAAACAAAACAATTGTTTTATGGACAAATTAAATGTTCATTATAGAGGGATTTGCTAAAAACTCTAAATAAACCAACGTTAGCTGAGCAGCGAGCTCGCAACATCGCTGCCTCGATTTTTAGAACAATCAAGGGTCCTAGCCCCGCCTGCTTGCGTGACCTAATACAACTTAGGAATTCGTCTTATAACTTAGAGAGACACGCACCGTTACTATAGCTAACTATGCCTATGTCCATATCTATTATAAAATAAAAGGTTGTAAAATAAAATGCTTTGATGTTCTATGATCTTTTTTTTTTTTGTCGATATATTTGTTCTTATCATAACAGTTCATCTTCTCATGTAACTCTCCTGTCTGTCATGAATTAAATAGGCAAAATCCGTTATGGTGGATGGTAATAGCGTTATATTGTCTAGTTTTACTTTCATTCCCTTTAGAACTAACTGTGATCATGATCAGTGGTTTGTCTCGCTTAGTTTATTTTTTCTATAAAATAACTTAAACAACAGGCTGCCCAAAATTAAAAATCAATGATATGTAAGACACGCTGCGGTGACAAACATGACAAAACAACGCATGTCGTAAAAATTATGGTTTTGTACTTGACGTTTCGTATGCTACAACATCAGAGACCGCGTAGAGGGAGGGGCTAGGGGAGTCTTAGCGAACCCCCGCCTTCCTCCACCTCCACTTTCTCACAGTAAAAAATAAATAAGTAGAGCAAAACATGATATAATACAGCAAATTGTTATGAATATTATGCAGCTAGTCTTGTATGTGCCTTGACGGGAAATTCCGTGGTCAGATATACATACGTGGACGAATTATTGAAAATCATCATCAGGAGCCCATCACTAGGAGCATGCAGCTCCTATACTAAGGTTATGTCACGGCATTTTTACAGACCGGTCTAGTTTTAGGCTTCTTTTCCGCAAAAATAGGTCAGTTCCGGTCTACATGAGCGCGCATCGGTAAGGTACACAATACATGTTTTTCTTTCTAATCTTCCGCCGAAATGATGATGTCAGTTAAAAATTAAGTCCCTGCTTGTGATTGGTCACTGACGTTTCTGCGGGGGTCTGAATTAGCGTTAAATTCCAACTAAGAATGCATTGGTCTGTGAAAACGCCGTGACAGGAATATGGGGTAGTTGCACGCTCCTAGTGATGAGCTCCTGTCACCTTTGATTTTTGTCTTCGGGCTTAATTTAAAACAGCGGCAGTGTTCCCACGCACATAATTTCTCAGAATAATTGTTCAGAGGACAAGGATGTCAGCTGTTTGTGGTGAACGAGTAGTTTATGTCCTACGGAAGATGTGAAACGATGTAAGTTTGAAATCATTCTATGACGCGATTTTACTATAACCCTCCTGACACTGAGAAGCGAACGCGTTCACCGAAGGAAAATTGAAATTGAGGAACCGTCTGTACCATTGTTACGTTGCTTCCTATTGTTTTCGTTCCCTATGCAAATCATGATATTCCTACGGGACAACTAATTTACATTTTGCGCGCATATCCTTGTACTAATTTAAGAGCTACGGTTTCGTTATTTTTAAAAATTAACTAGCTAATCCGTTGGAGCAAATTGCGCATCGCGTACGTATCCAGGATCTGTTCTATTCCTACTTTGTCATTCTGGTGGAATTTCTGTAAGTCGTGTTTGTTATGGTTTTCTTATTTCTTTTGCCTAGCTTCATTCACTTATTATTGTTGTATTCATTTTCTATTTGCTTGCATTTTTTCCTAGTCAAACTTTTATCCGTGTAAACAAATAAAGTCGTACGATGTTTGAAGCTCAGTGCTAGTTTGGTTTCTTCTCGAATAATATTATGGCGAAACAGCGGTAACACCGTCCACCCTAAAACATTCTAGAAATGATACATTTTCGGAAACTATTTAAACGCTTCATGTTCACACCGTTTCCGCAGCGTTTTTGCCATTTACCTGAAAACGCCCTCGGTCGTCGCTGTCGCCTTTAATCTCCCCACCCACACCCCTCACCCTCCCAAACTCAGAACGTTCCTGCGCGCAGGCCATGACCCATATCTTTAGAGGTGACCGTTAAGATAAATTACAACTAAATTTAAAATGTAAAGTGAGAGGCCGATATTATAATGGCAAAAACTTGGCGTTAGTTGGTGATTGTGTCACCCTACGTGAAAGCATTTTCCAGTTCTAATCCTACCACATTCTTAAGTTTTTTAAAGAGAGCACAAAGAAATTGGTGAAAAAAAAAAACTGCAAAATTAATTTCAAACTCCGATATGTAGTTATGGAAAGCAAGAAAACTAAACATCCACAAACAGTAAGGTCTTTAAAGACGAAAGCACCTGCATGGCAAACCAAACCACGACGGAAAAACGTCAATTAAGTAAGGTTAAAAGCCGATATTATAATGGAAAAAACTTGGCATCAGTTGGTGATTGTGTCACCCTACGTGAAAGCACTTTCCAGTTCTAATTCTGCCACATTCTTAAGTTTTTTAAAGAGAGCACAAAGAAATTGGTGAAAAAAAAACTGCAAAGTTAATTTCAAACTCCGATATGTAGTTATGGAAAGCAAGAAAACTAAACATCCACAAACAGTAAGGTTTTTAAAGACGAAAGCACCTGCATGGCAAACCAAACCACGACGGAAAAACGTCAATTAATGGCGAGAAACGTCATTGTTTTGAGACTGAAGTATTTTCGTTTATGTCTTTTCTTGTTAATTTCAAAATGAGTGATTTCTCATTGCAGTGCCAGCACACTACCAAGCAAGGAAATTTCATAACTGAAGATTATTTTAAATGTACTTTCAATTTTTTAGAAGCAATATTAGTTTAATTAGGTTTCACTCTGATAACGTATTCGGGCTAGTGTGGACAGGTCCAGCCGACTAATTGACAATCCCACATAGCTTTTCTGACCTTGACAACTCCATAGTTTACTTAAGTCTCTATTTTCGTGTGAAATTTCAGGCGGTAAAATTCGTCGGCAGCTGGGCCTTAGCGACATCCTTGCCAGGCCTGATATTCACAACAGACATATTCCACGAAAATACGAAACTATTACAGGCCGATATCCTATTGACTACAGCGTTTTAACCACCAAATGTTTCCGGCTGCATTTGTTAGTTTCCTTCATGATTAATACACCGTTTGCACTGTTTTTTAGCGTTAGGTAACGTTGAATCGCGCTAAAGGAATATCTTTGGGTCACTGATTTATTACAATGTTATTAGCAGGGGCGTTACAGTGGAGAAAACTTCATTGTGCAAAGTCGGATTTGATTTTGAATTTAAGGCCGGCTGATAATTTTTTACACTTATACAGTGGCAAGAGTACTTCTTTAGCAGAGAAAGTTTGTAATTGTGTAACGCTTCACCTCTTATCTCTTATTGCATTTCCTGCATTTCATGTTTTGTGGGACCTCCTAGTTTGTTCATTTAGGGGGTTCGTGTTTAAGCCTCCCCACCCTCACCCTCACTCTCCTCAACTCAGAACGTTCCTGCGCACAGGCCAGTAATCATATCTTAAGAGGTGACCGTTAAGATAAATTACAACTAAATTTAAAATGTAAAGTGAGAGGCCGATATTATAATGGCAAAAACTTGGTGTTAGTTGGTGATTGTGTCACTCTACGTGAAAGCATTTTCCAGTTCTTATACTGCCCCATTCTTAGCTTTTTTTTGAAGAGAGCACAAAGAAATTGGTGAAAAAAAAAAACTATTAACTTAACTTTAAACTCCGATATGTAGTTATGGAAGCAAGAAAACTAAATATCCATAAACAGTAAGTTCTTTTGTGAAAGAGGAAACCACCTGCATGGCAAACCAAACCACGACGAGAAAACGTCAATTAATGGCGAAAAACGTCAATGTTTTGAGACTCAAGTATTTTCGTTTATGTCTTTTCTTGTTAATTTTACGATGAGTGATTTCTCATTACAGTACCAGCACACTTTCAAGCAAAGGAAGTTTATAACTGAAGATTGTTTTAATGTACTTTTAAATCCTTAGAAGCAATATTAGTTTATTTGGTTGGTGATACTGAAATCCTCTCATTAGGTAAACATAAGCGGCAAGTTACATGATATCAAGATAAACATGAAGATTAATGGAAGCCTGGAAGCATTTCAAAAGTAACAAAATTAAATATCCAATATCAGTCACAAATGTACATGAATAGGCATAAAAGGGCTCAAATTTACAAAGCAGTGGTACAAATTTAGGTGTCAACCTTCGTTTCTAGACGAAGTTCTCACCACAGTATCTCTATGGCTGACTCTTGCCCGACTCAGTTGGTCATTGCAGCTCTCAATATTCTCCTGGGATTCGTATTCGGGGCGGCAAACACAGACTTTTGTGGAAACGTTTTTGAAACTCAAGTTGGTAAGGATACACCTGTAAATTAAGACGCCCCTCTTTACTTCTATTCAGTCTTTTCAGTTCGCATTCAAAAGAGTTTTTATTTCCTTTCTTCTTTTAGACCATGCCTTACTTGGTCATGCCATGGACACGGTTACTGTTCTGGATGAGTTTCAATGTCAGCTTAAATGCATCGGAAATAACAGTTGCAAGTCGGTGAATGTTTATCCCGATGGCAACAATGGACAACGACGCATTTGTGACCTAAACAACAAAACCCGACAGATGAAACCAGGAAATTTTAAATGGAAGAAAGGATCTACATACTATGGCTCCGTCCAGGTAGGTTACTTCTAAGTTGATGCAACATTTTTATTCTGCAGGCAAAACTGCATGTCACTTACCATGTTGAGCAAACAAGGAAATTTTATTATTTATAATTTTTCGGAGGTATACTCAACCAGAAAATTGGAGAAAAAGTACTAATA